TTATTCAGGATGTCTCGTAAGTCACTGGACAACTAAGAACCTTTTTTTATTTATAATTTTAGATCTTTATTATGATATACCTTTATCTAACGATAAAACAGTAGACCTTAATTAAGGTCTGCTATTTTCCCAGTTACATAAGGTTATATGAAAACAAAAGTCTATAGTTATAAATAAAAATATTTTCTTAGCTGCCCAGTGACTTACGGGACACCCCATATATATATAAGAGATAAACTGATATTGCTTTTTTATTAGCACACATTTCTGTTCTTTTGAAAATGTTTTTCTCTTGGATATGAGTCTTTAACTTAAAATGTTTCATGAAAAAGTCGTTTAATTGATATGAATTTAAGTTGAAATAAAATTGAAAAGAATCTTTGGATTCGTCTTGTTGAATTAAAATGTCAAAATAATATCATTCAACAAATTCGTTCAAATCAACAAAATCATTTTATTTCATTAAATGAAAAATTTCAATGATGGAGAAGTTATATAGAAAAAAAAAAATTTTTTTGTGCCTAATAAAATAAATAAAATAAATTTTTGGGAAAAATTAATTGATATACTTTAAACAAAAGAATATTTAACAAATGATTGAAAAGAATTATTAATTATACTAAATAACTTTCATAATGATCGAATTATAATTGAAAATTCTCTTAATGAACATCAAGTTGAATGTGAAATGTTATGTTTAAGAAGAAGTTGTGAAGTATATTGAGAAACAGTTAAACATTTATCATAAGTTTATGTATTCTAAAGAGATTCGAATATTTGAATTTAAAATTCCAATAAAATGATTTATGGAAATTGTAAGAAACAATTTATGGTGAAGAATTGAGTTGAGATATGATTAGTAAATTCAAGCAAGAGAAATTTATCTTTGTTGTTTTGAATAAATCTATTCGTTATCTTTGATAAATAATGTCAAATGATTATCTTAAATAGTTTATTATTATATTTCCATTTATTAAACAAGATAATATTGAATATATTCAATTATTGGAATTTATTATTAATAAATTAAATCTAATTAATCAAAAAAGACCATCATTTATAAATAGTCATATCATGCTTATTTACGTGTTTTTGCGATGGAATTAATAAAACAAAAAAATTCGAACTTATCTCAAAATTTAATTAATTATGGACATCCATGAAAAGAATATTTATATTCAACACCTTTTATGTTCATTAACTGTTATTAAATGAAAAATTTTTTCACTACATTTTGAACATGCTATTAATATATCACTGAATATGGTTTGTTCCAATTTAGTTGTGTTTCAATTATTGGATTAATTCAATTATCGAAGGAATATTATCGATTTTCATATTTTTATTTTGAGATGTTTATTAAAGTAATAGCAGTCAAGCAAAATATGCGTTTTTAACATTGAGTTCTGTAAACGATCTCTGTCACAAAAAAAAGAAGCATCTCTTTCGGTTTGTTTTGTTATTTCAAAAAATTGCAATCTGAAAATTTCCATATAAAAGTAACAAGAACTTCACATCTGCATCTTTGAAATTTTTCTCAGACAATTTTTAACATTTGAGATAATTAGAAGTTTTCACTATCATACAAAAATATACAAAATTTTTATGTTAAAATGCGACTTTGTATTCTTTAATATCTTCGACATTCTAAAATAATTATTGAATAAAAGCAATGCTTAATAGATATGACATGCTTGCAAAAAAAAAAGCAATAGTCTTTCAATAATTGTTCATTGTGACAGTTATAATGTTTTTGTTGTTGCTTTGTCTTTAACAGCATTTCTTAATACACTAAGTGATGGTTGAAATACTTCGATATGAATTTGAGATGGTGGATGATGATTACATTCAGTTAAATAATCTTCAAGTTGATTCATAAATGGTATTGAACCACATATATACACGTGTGTATCCGGTGTTAAAAACTTTTTTATATCATCTTTTCCTAATTTTTCACCTTGACAAAATAAATAATATTGATTTTCCGAAAGAATCGGTTTCAATTCATCAGTAAAAGCTGCATGTTCTTTTGTTGGTACACAATGAATTAATGTTGCAGATTTTATTTTATTTTGTTTATGTAATTCTAAAATCAATGATGAAAGAGGAGTTATGCCAATTCCACCAGCAATTAATAAATGATGTTTACCATCTTCAATTAATGTAAATGTACCCGCTGGAAAACTTGTTAAAATTGTATCACCTTATTTATAATCATCAATTATTTCATTAGAAACAATACCTTTTGGTTCATGATCAATTTCATCTTTAATAGCAACACGATAAGTTTTACCATTGAATGGTTCAAGAAGACTATAATGTCGATTATGAAACGAACCATCTTTTTTAATACGAAGTGTAATATATTGTCCGGCATGATAATTATGCATTTTTCCACCATCAGGACGTTCTAATGTAAGAGCAACAATAGGTCCACTTGCAATAGTTTCTTTTTTGATAATTGTCAATGGAACAAAACCTTTATCACGTTCATCTGGACCAAGTTCATCATATAATTGTTGTTCTAAATCAATGAAGATTTTGGCAATAATATCGTAAGCAGTTGTTCATGCATCTAAAATTTCTTGTGTTGCTTTTTCTCCTAAAAATTCTTTTATTGCAAGAAGTAAATATTTGCCAACAATAGGATAATGTTCTGGCAAAACAGTTAAAGCACGATGTTTATGAGCAATAAGTTTAACTTGTGGTGTAAGTACATCCAAATGATCAATATTTTCAGCAGCAAAATAAACTGTATTAGCTAATGCTAATGGTTGTGTGCCAACCTTTTGATTAGTTTGATTGAATAAATTTAATAATTCTGGATGAGCTGCAAACATATGTTTATAAAAAATTGAAGTTATTTCTTTGCCATTTTCTTTCAAGACTGGTGCTGTTGATCTTACAATATTTTTTTGTTCTTCAGTTATAGACATTTTAGAAGTCTATATATCAAATATAAAAAAACAACCATCATTAATTATTTCAAACACTTAATGGAGATTAATAAAAGTAGAACAGAAAATCGAAAGAATTTTTTGCTCAGAATCTTAAAATATTTAGATATTTACTATGTACAATGGTCTTTTACACAATTATTAGTCAACAAGGAGCGCTCCAAAAGTAAGATCATCCTTGAACTATTACCAACAAAGAAACAATGGATGTTGTGATCCTTATTCAACAAAGGAAGAGATAGAAGATGTCGTGGGGATTGGTTTGTTAGTGATCGATTCAATTGGTGATGACTATTGGAAGCTTTGGAAAGTTTGTGATCAATAGGCGCCTCATCAGTAAACCGATGACCAAAAAGAATCCCATATTCAATTTTTTCATCAGTCACTCGAATAATTCAAAGAAGATCGATCCCATCGTATATTCGACATCATTACTAATGATCAATCATGGTTCTATCATTATGATCCGAAAATCAAAGTGCAGTCAAACGAATCGTGGCGATTTTTTCATGAAATCTGATTTAATCAAGTCTATATCACTACACTTTGGTGAGACAATAAATGTTAGTTTAGTCTGTCAATATCTGCCTACCACAAATCTTCAAAACAGTATCGAATGACTTTTTCTTTTTTCTGGAACTCAAAAATTAACCATGTTGAATTCAATTCGACGACGACACTATAATGTTGGATACATTAGAACAAACCGTCAACATCTTGACAAAAGATGATTTCAAAAATTGCTTCGATGGCTAATTTATTCGAATGTACATGTGCATTAAAGCTCAAGAACAATACTTTGAAAAGATACACTAGAATCAGTCTTTGATTATTTGTTTGAAGGGCTGGCAAAAAAAACTTTTTAGGATCCTCTATGTATGAATTAAAATATACAAATGATATGTCCACTAAAAAATAGATCATCAACAAAAAGAATATTTTTTCTTTGTTTGAGTAATTATTTGAATAATGATTCAAAAGGGATTATCTTCTAACTCTAAAATATGATTAATCTTTCTATGTTATAGAATATCATTAATCACATTTAATAAACAACTTCGAAATATTTACATTAGTGTATATTTTCTTTAAAAAATGCTTGTAAAGAATTTTTAAAAAATCATAATAGAAAATAATACTCACTAATATATGTATGTGATTTAAATGTTTTATTAGATATAACAAGTACTCGTGATTTTATTTAAACAGGTTTTTATTCTATGTGAATACGTCTGACTTACGACAATATTATTTGATGAAGGAAAGAAAAGCTCCAGTGGAATGAAAAACGTCAACAACAACAGCTTTATGTACGCCTACGGATAAAGAAGACACAGTTAAGGACGAAAAAAGATGTCACATAAAATATAAAATATATGAATACAGTTAACGCATGCATAAATTATATATTGTATTGGAGTACAGTATTGTAATTTTTTTATATCACACCAGGCTCCTTAACATTAATATAATTCTAAATAACGTAAACTACTTTTACATTCAGAAAAAAAAATATTATTATAGGTTAACAAGGGTAAAAAACTCAAAGACTCTGATTCCTTTCTTTTTTCTTTTCTTATTATAACTTCTAGTGCAAGCACTTTGTTAAATAATGATCAATCAATCATAAATTCATGCTGTTAAGACATAATAGCAAAAATACTTTTCTTTCATCCGTATGATTAATTATTAATAACAGAGCTTCAAGGACATTATTTTTATTTGAGTAACTTACATTGAAGTACAGTTATGCTCATCAAGTTACAGAGTTGTTTGATATGATTTGCATTTTCTGCACAATCATGCCTTGAATACTAATGACGAAGTATTAAAATATTTCACTCAGTCAACTAGATTTATAGTTGTTTAATTCCCATTATATAACTAATCCTTCTTTCTATCTTTTCGTTCAGTATTCCGATATATATATAATTGAGAGTGGAATAGTGTTTTGTAATTCTTTAATAAAAGATAATATCATGAATATTTAAATAAAAAAAGCTTGTTTTTTTTCTTATTAAATTATGATTAAATTGCATTGTGAAGTTTACTTGATACTAATGATGTATTTGGATTGTTTTTCTATATATAAACAATAATAAATTGTCTATTTTTATTTTGTTCAATAGAGTATATATTTTGACAACTTGTTTTTTTTTACTTCGGGGTAGTGTCCTTTAACCGAGTTGGGTACCCGACAACCAGTCTAGCAGTTGATGAGACCTCGACACTTCAAAATATTTTTACTTTTTTAAAATGCTAATTTCAAGGAGAACAAGTGTACTTTTGTACTTCTGAAGTACAGAAATACTGAGAAGTACGAAGAATTAGACAGAAGTACTTGCAACTACAATTAAATATATAAGTACCTTAATGTGCTCAGAAGTTCGTGCGTATTTAGTTGTCAGGAAAAAACGAATTTGAAGAATAAAACAGAAGAGATTGTTATTAAACCTGTGACTTCTTTGAATAACTCGAGAACACCGATCATTAGAGAAAAGTATATTTCTGTTAGTTAACAAACAATTAGCCGATTGTTTCTATATACCCCTGGAAAGCAAAAGTTAGCCACTATGTTTGACCTCTTTTTATACTCGAAAAGAACATTTTGAAAAAAGTAATTATACCGTTTGATAGCGCTTGAAATTCTCTACCAGCCTGTGTACTTGTATTTTAGTTTGCGCTTGAATATTATGAAAATAAATTGAGTATAATGAAGGCACCTCCATGTCCACATTCTCACACACTAGATTTTGTCACTGGCATAGAAAATAGTTTTTTTTATTTTTTATCACTATTAAATTATTTTTTTAAAAAAGTAATTATATATTCTGATAGAGCTTGAAATTCTCGATCATCCCATATATTTATGTGTTGCTTTGCATTTATCAGTTAAAAAATAATTTGAATACAGTGAAGAAATTTCAATTGACAATTTCGAAGACACACTGATTTTTTTTGCTACTTATATTGAAGACAATATACTTTTATATAGACTGATAGAGAATTTCAAGAGCTATCAGAATGTATAATTACTTTTGTGAAAATTTATTCTGTATGAAACAAAATTTGGCAAAAATACTAAAAAAATAGGCAACAATGCGGATTTTTTAATACTTATCAATTGAAGATGTCTTTATTGTATTCGAATTATTTTTCAACAGATATATGCAAAGCAACAGATAAATATATGGGATGATAGAGAATTTCAAGCTCTATCAGAATATATAATTATTTTTAAAAAAAACGTGTTTCTATAGTAATGAAAAATATTAAAAATTAGAAAGTCCGTCTTTGGGAATGAGGATATGGAGGTACCTTCATTATACTCAATTTATTTTCATTATATTCAAGCGCAAACTAAAATACAAATGCACAGGCTGGTGGAGAATTTCAAGCGCTATCGAATGGAATAATTAATTTTTTCGAAATGTTCTTTTCGAGTGTAAAAAGAGGTGAAGCATAGTGCCTAACTTTTGCTTTCCATGGATATATAAACTTAACTTCTAATTATAATAAATTGTAGCATCATTACTTTGAATATATAAAAAACTTTTTCATACCTATCCAAACTATGCGATTTTCTCGAACATTTTAGTACTCTCAAAAATAAGAAGTCATTGAAAAAAAATAATAGAACTATTTTTTCTCTTCAAAGAATAATTAATGTATTAAATAGAGAAGAAAAAATCAGCGTGACAGTACTCAGAATGACCAATAGAACTATGTTTAAAGTGATTTATTTAATCTACTGCTCTAAATGATGTACATAAGATTTCAACTACTCTAATTACTGTTATTTGCTAATAGAATTCTTCATTATAGAAGTTTGTCAATAGTAAATATCAAATTACATATCGCGTTCAATATTTTGTGAAAACTGTCGACTGTATTTTTAATTTTAAGTAACTTATTGCTTTTTAATAGGCAAAGAGCGTTAAATTTACTTTTAGTATTCATTTTTCTTAATTCAAATCAAATAAATTGATACATATCTAGTATTGATTTTTTAATATCTTGGTAGTTTCTTCATTAGAAGAAACAATATGAAAACCCTGTTAATTAAATGAATAAAACTTTAATAGGTATTCTAGAAGAACAAACTAATTTCTGATGATTTTAAATTGATTTTCATTATTGAAAATCTCTTTGTTTATACATAAAACTAATGAGTAGTTTTGACGTTTTTTGATACTAGTTCTATGCTTTTCTAAACTTCATATCGATTTAAATTGTGAAAATTCATTATTCGACGTTAACTGAAAGACTACAAAATTCAACACACCATACGCCTTTATTTGATGTGAAAAGGATAAATCTGAAACATGGTTGACATCAAATTTATGCTGCTGACATCTAAAATGAAATAAAAAACAATAAATGCCTTTGTTTTTTCTGCGTCAATGATTATCGCAGTTCATCTTGAAACAATGAAAAGAAAAATCAACACATTGTCATCCAATTACCCTAGACGATAATGTGAACATTGTTCATTTGTTTATGCAGTGACACCTATTTAAATAGTGCACTGACATCGTACATTTGACAAATACAATGAATATTAAGCAATTCGAGTCGTTATCAAATGAATTATGGTTAACCATTTTCGATTATTTATCGTCTTTCGATCTATTCAAAGCATTTTTTTATATAAGAAATAAACGTATTAAACAAGTTGTTATGTCTCGATCTTTGGTACTAAATGCAAAAATACTATCATATGCACAAATGAATCAGATTGTCGCGATGCCTAGCTTCTTCGCTCTATTACATATTATTATTCTTAATAATTCATGTGCTTCTGTAGCTTTTTATGAATATTGGACAAGGATGATATCACCAAACTACTTAACACCTTCAATTGAACGATTGATTATGATGGGAGTGCAATATCATGTGTCTGATATTGTCTACAGTCTAATTAAGCCATTGTCACTTGGCAACACTTTACAGTACCTTCATCTTTTGTTTGAATATCCTGATGGAGAATACATGGGAGTTCTCATCAATTTAGTTAAAACTCAGACGTCGGTTCGTAGTATGATACTCGAAGTGGAAAAAGGTATGTAACACCATTAGTATTTTTGATAAAGAAATTTAATAAGACAATTTCAAAACGAAAAAAAAATAAAGTGATAAAATAGGAAACATGCTAAAACCGTTAGCTGTTACCGTTCACATTGTTATGACTGTATTAGATGTACCTCATCAGATATGCAAAAAAAAAGTTCCTTAAAACATAAATTTAGTCATCACAACATGAAAGTTACATCAACATTATAAGAGACTTTAGAGAAAAAAATCTTTTTACTCTAGTCTTTCAATACTCTTGATTATGCAGTCTTTGTTCGAAATTTTTAAGTATTATCTCAATGGGACATATTTAGTAACTTATTCATGTTTTAAAAATGATTACACGAATATTGCCGAAATAATATCTGTCAAGCATAACTATTTCGAGAAAGAAAGAAATTTTTGAAAAAGTATTGTCAAAATTCACGAATCATTACTTTCGCTTTTTAAGGTCACGATACATGGACAGAACATATGTTTTTTGATTTATACGAAATGAAAACCTTATTTTGGGCATGTACTGTTCAATTGACATTGAGTATTCAATATCCATTTGAACTTGTAATCATTCTTCAAAATGGTGCTATACCACTTCTCGAACATTTATATGTAACAATTGAACAAGAACAATACATATCGAAGCCTTATTCAAAAAAACCGGAACCAGACATTCAACTCTGTGAACGTGATATTCGTCAAATGGCTAATGCTACTCGACTTCAAACTCTCGTATTACGTCATCTGGCTCTTAGTCACCTTATAATATTACTCAATTCACTCAATATGCCTTTATTAAAGAAATTAACACTAGTTGATATATTCGATGAAAGTAAGCTATTCAATATATTAACGTAGAATCAATAGTTTTGACATTTTTTGCGAAGAGCGTTCGATCTACTACTCATTAACATAAATAATATTATTTGATCATCTAAAATTTAATTTAAATTATAAATCTTTGATGATTAGAAGTTCTGTTTAAGAAAAAAAAACGTATAAAACAACTATTGTATGCTTACACATTTCTGAAAAAATTGGTTTATCAATTTATGGTCCTGAAAACAATATACCGTGTGTCCCAAAAGTCCCTTCCACTTAAATTTTTTGTATATCTTTGCTATTTAATTTCACATTATCAATTATTGTTTTTCTAAATGATAGGTAGATACACCGAGTGTTTATTTATAAAGAGAAACTTCAGAAGTACTGCTCAAAGCTAAGACTTAGAATCGAAATATAAAAATATAGTCTATTTTCTATTCCCAGAAAAACTCATGTATGATATCTGTTCCAATTGATGGAATATTGGCGTGGCAAAATTCAGTTCATTTATATGAAGACATACCAAAGTAAAATTCTATGAAAAGATTCGTTAAAAATCGAAGAACTCAAATATCTGAACCACTTAATAACCCGAAATGACTAAAAAAGAAATTTTGCGTAATGTTTTTCTGGGAATAGAAAATAGACTATATTTTTATATTTCGTTTCTAAGTCTTAGCTTTGAGCAGTACTTCTGAAGTTTGTCTTTATAAATAAAAACTCGGTGTATCTACCTATCATTTAGAAAAACAATAGTTGATAATGTGAAATTAAATAGCAAGGATATACAAAAAATTTAAGTGAAAGGGACTTTTGGGACACACGGTATATAGGTGAGATTATTTATCTGCATACACTAAATAAAATTCTCATGAACACTTGCTTTTTAAGAAGCCATTTATAAAAAATACAGGGACGTGCCGTTCACGGAGTGCAGAGGATGTGCACTCTTCCACTTTTGAAAAATTTTCACTTTTTCCCAACCAAAATTGTACTTTTTATTAAAAAAAAAAGATCGTAAAATGAAAAAAGAAGGTTCTGCACTCCGACTTTTTTTTTCTTCGCCATATTCCTGATAGAATACATCAAGAAGTTTTAAAATTGAAACAATTGTCCTCTTTTCGTTCACTTATCCAAATATTCTTTTCTACACCTGCAGATTTTTGGAAAAAAGTCTTCTCATACAATAGTTATCCTAAAATCACTTCTTCAGAGAAGGTTAATCGAGACTTGTTCGTTTAGTAGAATAGAGGTATTTGCTTTCTACATAAAATATCATATCTTTATATTAAAATATTGTATTAGACACGAGATACACTTTTCTTTTATATCATAGCACTTGAAAATCTTGATGAATTTCGGCGTGCTGTTGGCTACAATCATTTACCTGTCTTGAAACATCTTTACTTTTTAATTCGTTTTCCTGGAAATTTAAATGAAATATTACACACAAGCTTGATCATATATGGCAACATATGGCCTTTCAATAATGTTAGTTATCATCTCGATGACCAAATTATCTCCGTAAAATCTAATAGAAAAGTCGTCACAAAAACAGTCCTTTTCTTTTACACCTGTCCGTTTGACATTTTATTAGAATATACCCGGACTGTACATAATCACTCGTTTGCAGAACACTCAACTTTTATACAACAGCGATTTATCAAATGGACCTGTGATAAGATAGATAATGTGAATCAATTGGATACTACTTTAAATATATTAGCTGGTGGTCATTTGAACACACTTCACTTACATTATTACAGAATGATGGTTAGTATTTTAATAAGCTTCAATTTCTCGGTCATTTAGACAGAAATAGTGGATTTTAGTTGTTTTCTCTTGATAGTTTTATATCTTGATGAAATTTTAGTGAAACATCGAACATATCTAAAAACCTGTAAATACTTTTATGGCAGGAAATATTTATCGAAGTGTTAAACATGATATTTAAAACTATATAGTTAACTAAATCAATGAATTAAATACTGAATGAAAATTTTCTACGTTGAAAAGAAATAGAAACCGAGGCTTCTGCTAGAAAGTAATAGTTTTTGCTTATTTTAGACATTGAAAATGTGTAGATGACATTTAAATTAACATTTCTTTATTTTTAGACACCCATTCAAATGAATATGACTAATTCATCCTGGTCTAATATAACTTTTCGCCGATTGCGCTCTGTAACTTTTACTTTCGAGTTTAAGTCGATGAAACGATTACAACGTGTTTACATTATCGATCAGATACTTCATGTATCCCCTCGACTTTTACATCTCGTTGTACCATGGAATGATTTACGTTATTGTTCACGTCCTAATACAAATGTGAAACATGTGCATCTTGTACTAGACGTACACTATGATGATCCAAACCCGTACATTCAGATCGATCATATCTTTCGACTGATGCCTAATGTTTGTTATTTCGAGACAAGCGGTCGTCATATAACATTCAATCAAAATCTCATCGACTTTGTTCTGAAAATTATCAATACATTTCATCAACTTGTTCAACTGACTGTAAACAAAGAAGGTATATGTCAAGTCCATCCAGATATTCAGTTAGCATTTGAACAAGCGATATTTGCTACTGGCCACAAGCAACTACTCGATTCCTGTACATATCAAACAATATTCCCTAAAGGTAATAAACTTAGAATATGGTTGTAATAGTTTGTTCTAAATAAATAAATAAATAAATATTAAATCAAATAAACAGGTAATAGTGTATGTCATCTTCTAAATCATATGGAGAGAGAGAGATTGCTCGATTACATTGGAATGTAGAATGATTCGCTAAATAATTGATTTTATTTAATAGTAATGGATTGTATTTTTGATTTAGGATAGATGTAGTTTCTGAGTTGCCATACTTTAGTATTGTCTATGTTTTATCTAATTTTTGAAATTACAAAAAACATGACTAAAAAATGAACGACTATTAAAACTTAAAGAAAACCATTTCACCCAATATGCTCGGCTAATTCAATAACAACACTTTGTCGTTGTATATCTACCATTGGATCCAATCCATATGTTATTAGATAATCATCAGATTACGAGTTTCGATAAATAATTGTTGAATTATTCATACCTGGAGAAATATTAGTTTCTTGAATTGTAAATAGTCCCTATATTTACATATATGGTAACCATATAATTGGCAAAGCATGACGGAAGATTTGAAAAAACGTTTGTTTATCTAAGAGATATGATACAATCTGTAGCATCATTCATTTTACTAGTACTTTATAGTGGGAGTAGACTAACATGAAAAAAAATAACAACTTATTTGAAGGTATTCTTACTATATATGCGATATCAAAAAGCTTAACTATATTTTCGATAGATTTTCCTTAAAAAGTAAAATTTATACGGAATAGAATTGACAAATTCCCGAACATTTTCTACTCTTTGAACAAAATATAGGCAAAATGTGAAAATCAATCGAAATATAGGATCGAACAAAATTATAGGATCTATAGGAAATGCAGATAGAATCACATTTCAGATATATATTGCTTCTTGTGATAATGTTCGTCTGAAATTCTACATAATATCACCAAGTTTATAATAAATGAGGTTTCAACGAATCATCTGTGTCAGAAAGAGATAAACCATCAGCAATAAGAGCTCCTGCTGACATCACCAATTACATTGAATAAAGTTGCAGTACAGCAACTTTTTCACGTTCAATTGCTAATAACCATATAGTTGACATTATATCGCGAAAACTGTCTCCATCATTCAAAAAATATAAAAATTATAATGACAATGATTTGAATATATGTAGTTTTTGCAATGCATACCATGAAGAAATTTTCATTTCATTTTTAGTGTCAATATAAATTCGATCGTTTTTCAATATTTTTTGTACACAAAATTTTCTTTCATCACTGTAACCTAGCATTTCCATTTCGCGACATCTAATAATTATTATGTGTGTCTGCATAAAAATTTTTTTATTCTCTATAGTGAAAAACTAACGTGAATAAATTTTCATATCTAATCGATCAATTTTATTAGTTTTGCTGCATGGGGACCGTAACGTAGTCGATGTAGTTTTGTTCATCAGGAAAATAAGACTTAAGTCATAAATTAATTTTTTTATGAGATATCTGACTTTGACTCATGCATAAAGTTATTAGTGAACAATAAGTTAGTATTCTTATTTGTTTGAGGTCTTCATTTTTTTCTACTTACCTACATATTTTGAAATATACTTGAATCAAAAAAATCTAATCAAAGATCAAACTTCTTGTTTATTCATATTTGATGAAAGAGAAATCATATTTATAATTCTTCGTCGTCATCAATGTTTTTAACAGCGACGCTTACCTCGCACATCTCCTTATCAACATCATCAAGTCTTTTTTCACTTTTGCTTAATTTAGCTACCATTCGAATGAACATTGAATAACCAAAGTTAAATAGATGATTAGACAATAAGCCATCCACCTCAACAGCCTTGAGTGAAACTGCATTTGTACGCAAGTTAGTAATGCACTGAACACGAAATTCAAATGCCTGTAACGCTTCACCTAGATAAAAAAGTAAATTCACATAAATTGACAAGTTGTTTAATGGAAAATTATAAAATTTTGAAAGATACTAGAAACTGAATGAATATTTGTCCTAAAAATCGCAGCTTATCTTACAATGCATACAATGTGGTCTATCAAAATACTGATCGGTTCGATCTCCGAAATATAAATAATCTAAATAAAATCGGAGACTTCCAGGCTTCAGACTTTAGAAGATTTGAACAACTTCATGACATTTCGCAAGACTTGAAATACTTCATCAAAAGTCAAGACATCTAAGGGCTTTATGGGATTCTAAGATTTGCATAGATTCATGAAGCCTGTTCTTTCTATGAAATTAAAAATCTCGATGAAATATATTTAAGGTAGTCTATTTATCAATGTTGTCAAATGGTACTGAGAGCAAGTTAATAATCCATCACTTATAACATAAAAAAAATGAATTGTTCAATTCCATTAACGTTCTTCGGAAATATTTATTATAGAAACCAGCAGTGTTTCGGTTGGAAAAGTTATATCAAGAAAAAAAAACTGTTTTTATAAACAATAAGCAATTGTTTCTCCCCAGGTTAATGATTTCGGTGTCCTGTTCCGTGAATTTCCCGCCGGAACTCGCTGGAAAAGACGTCGTTTCCGGTCGGAAAACTCCAGAAAATGACCGAAACTAGATGGCAGGAATTCTGTGTCCGGACCCGGTGATCGAAACTCCTCAGCTGTAGACAGTTTCTGCAGGAACCTTGAAAATCCAGTCGTCAGATCCAACCATTGGATTGCTGCCATCTAGTTCTTACCATTTTCCGGCGTATTTCTGACGGTTCGGACCGTACGCCATTGATCTGGGGCTATAAAGTATAGAAACAAATCAATCAAAAGGCTCTAAATTTAATGATCAATCTTGTACTAAAAGGATTAATTGTACAATTGATGTACAATAAGATTTTAGATTAATTATAATATATTGAGCAGGCATAAGAATCCGAGTTTTTGGTGTATAGACAAGAATTATATTGTCGTAAACACTTAAACAAATGAAAACATATTAACCCCCCCCCCCCATATTAAAAGACCCAGGGTCTTGTATTATGTTTAAGCGGAAAATTTTTTTAGGGGGGTCTTGTATTATGACTCTCCTATTTTCGCGATTTTTTCGACACTCACAATTATTTTCGAAGAATTTAGTAAATGCAAGTTTAAGTTCAAGTCTTACGGCTCCTCAATTTTTATTATAGTAATCAGATGCTGGGAAAAACATCACCCACACCCTTCCCACAGCAACAAACAATAGGAAGTAATTAATATCAACGGCTATCTTATTTTATAATCTGTAATTTCTAATTTCTGTTCTAAATATTATGTTTTTAAGTTTTGTAAAACTCACATATATTTTCGAAGGAACTAACAGTGATCGTAGGTTTGAGTCAAGATTTTTCAGCTTGTTCCCTCTTCCCCATTACATGTCGTAGCAATCATTTAGATTTAATACCCGTGGAATAAAAAAATGAAAACAAATGGTGGCTCTCATGTAAAAAAAATTTAAAAAATGGCGTTTTTCATGATGAAAAGGATATAATCATGCATGTTTCTTATTTTCATTGATTAAAATCAAAATTTT